GGCCGGGGTGGCTGGGGCACCTGCCTGGCAGCTCACACGGCTGGTGCGGGAGCAGGGGTCCGGGTCTGGGTCGCTGTGTCCCCCCCGCCGCCCCGCCTGGCTCCGAGGGGAGGGCAGGGACCACCGCGCTGCCTCACGCCGGGATGGGCTGGGGGCTCTTTACAGGATGGCTGAAATCCACCCTCCCCCGATCCCCCAGCCTCTGTTCCCCGGGCTCCTTGGACACTGTCCTGTTTGGGGTTGGGTTGCTTAGCTGCCGGGCTGGGCGCAGGAGCACGCAGCAGGATCTCTGACTGAGTGGACCTGCATTTGCCCAACGGTATTTGTCCCGTGCCAGCTCCTGATGCCCCTCTCAGCTGGGGCAGTGGGAGGAAATGCCCCCGCCCATGGCAAGCATGATAGAGGCCTAAGAGTCTCTGAGCAGCAGGGTCAGACTCAGATGTCTAAATGTGGACACCTACATGCATCCCTGCCCAGGGCCACCCAGTGAGCTCAGCCCTAATTTACCTCTTCCCTTTTGGCCAACTATTTTGAAAGTTGCCTCAGTCCCTGGAACTCAGTTCCTGCTCCCCTGTCTCCAGTCTTTTATATCAAGCTCATTGGCATTGTAGCTGGTTGCTTGCAGCTAAGAGAGTCACTCGCTCTGCCAGGGAGCTCTGAGGGTAGCTTTATGTAGGTGTCTTGGGCACTTGGAGGTCCTTGAATGGAAGGTACCAGAGTCAGGGTTACCATGTGGAAGGGGAGGGAAGGAACCAAATGAGGGGCAAGATTCAGTAAGGGCCTGAAGAATGAAGGGAGCCGAAGGCACTGAGGCACAAGGGTGTGGAGGGAGGGTGAGGTAGGCATCTTCAGACACAGAAATGGCTGAGATACTGAATGGCCTCTGACCGGGGAAATGACCACATAGAGACTGGATCATGAGTGAGCTGGACTGGGACACAGCTGCCATTGACACAGAATGGGAAACTGCCTGCAGATGTCAGGGTGATGTGCACCCTTGGCTGTGAATAGGTGTGCAGAACCCCTGTTCGCTGAGGCAGAAGTCCTGGAGAACCGGAGAGCAGGAGATGTGGGACCAAACTACATGAGAATGGAAGGGGACTGATCCAGGCAGTTGGATCTGCCTCAAGTGAAGAAATTAAATGATAGCAAGAAAAAAAATGTTCTGTCTCAAGAAGAAAGGAACTGTGAGCACCAGGTGGGGCAGGGGGTTACAAGGAATAAATCACTGAGGCTCTTTGAAATATATTTTTATAGAATTACAAAAACAGTCATAACCCACTGGCCTTACCCCATGTGAGCTACTCCATTGACTTAATAAGGATTATGTAAACAAGGGAACCAAAACGTACCTTTTAGTACCTGAAGGGAGATGGTTTTTAGCAATGTACCTGAACCATTGTCATGTGAGTTAGAAACTGGTGACAGTGTTAAACCCAGAGGAAAGACTATGGCAAGGGACTGAGATGGGGGAAAGATATCTGATAGGAGGATAGCACATTTTAACTTCTTCGTTAATTGACAGAAAGAGGATGGGGAAGATGTAGCCATTCTTGTATCATACTGAAATGGGAGAAGTTATAAACACTATATGTAAGAGAAGTGATAGAGGGAGACCTAGAAACCGAGAAACTGGGACTAGTTCTAGAGAGATGCATTCAAACTGTTTGTAACAAGTAAACCATGAGATTCGTTCTTTCTATTTTCAAAACACCTGTGGTTAGAAAAAGGGTTGTGTGACCTTGTTATTTCAACTTGCTGAAAAGACCCTTTATTGATCCTGGAGGCTCCCACACCAGTCATCCCCTTCGTCCATTTGTGTTCCCAGAGAGTGACTGGTCTGGGAAGTCAGAAGTTGTCTTTGCTGCTGCCTGACCTGGTGATTTAATTCTAAAGGAAGAGGGCAAAGTTCCACATACCTTTACAGGAGTGTTCATGAGCATGTGGCTTTGTACAAATATTCTTGTGGTGAGGAAACCATGCCTCTGAATGTTTACAAAAAATAGGACTTGGGCTTCAAGTGGTCTTGAAGCCAAGGAGGAGTACCTAGAATGCACATTTGAAATACCTTTCTTTCTAGTGCATCCCCTGTGTTGCTACACGTGTTCATCTGGAGCCAGTCATGAGGAACACACAGACCTTGTCAGAGAGAGGCCATTGTGTCAGAGGAGAGTGGATGGGAGCTTGTAATGCATGGCAGCAAGACAGCCAATGTAGCTCTGGGCAACCTGAAAACACAGTCCTTTCCTCTGAAGCAGGGCTTGAATGACTGCAGGGTATTTGCATTATGGCCATCCACTTCCAAAAAAGACATTGTGGTAGGGTTGTAATGTGACAGAAGCCATGATGGTCCAGACTTGAAGAAGGGTACTTTGTGCCTGACAGCCTGTTTAACATCTCCCCCAAATATACAGTGTGTTCAATGAAAAATATCACTCCCAAACCTCTTGCTGATTACAAAAAAAAAGATATTGGTAAACCATAGGAACCTCAGAGGAGGGTTATGAAAGAGTTTCAGGGGCTGGAGGAGAATGCTAAGAAGCTGACTCTTTAATTTGTAGTAATTGCTCAGGCCAGTGGTCTCCAACCTTTTAAAGTAGGAAATCACCTTTGGCATTTAAAAACAACCCAAGATCTACCATGCACTGCCACCACCCCCCTCTGCCCCCACCCAACAGGACATGGGGTGGGGCATGCACAGGAAGGAGGGGGGGGGGCAGATCAAGGCAGAGGGAGAAAAAATTATTTGGGGGGCGCACCTGCCCAGCAGGTAAGTCCCACGCCGCTGGGGCCTCACTCAACTAACCCCTGCTCCTGCCTCTGCAGCACTGTCCCTCACCACAAGGGCCTCGATCTAGTCCCTGTCCCTTCCCTCCCCCACAGACTGACCTGCTGGGCTGGGGCATGTGCGTGCATGCACGCGAGCACTCAGCCCTGCACCCCAGCCTCGGATCTACTCCAAGAGGCTCTGAGATCTATCTCGGGTTGGTGATCACTGGCTTAGACAGAGGCCAAGGAGAATTTGATATCTAAAAGTATATGCCCGAAGCAGAGTGAGGAGGCCATTGAGGTATTGTCTGGGGTATAAAGAGGGGAGGGGACAAGGAGAGGGGAAGAAATTGTGAAGGGAGGGAAAAATGTCAGCTGAATCCAGAAGTCTCCAGACCCCAAGGCACACTGGGCTGTGGAGCAAACTTCCTTGGGGAGGGTTATTTATACTAGCTTGGAAAGAACCCATGGGAATATACAATAGGGAGCAGCCTTTCCCTGGCCCCATGGACAGGATAAGACTGAATAGGTTGTTGCCTCTGCTGCATGGGTGCTGTTGTATAATGAACCGAAAGCCATCATAGAAAAAGAAGGACACCAGTAGGAACAGACTCTTCAATGAGAGGGCTGAGAGGGAAGGGCAGTTTTGCTGAGTGCCTGGTCTTGGACTGTATGTGCTTGGCATGACTAGTCCTATGGTGCTCAGCTAGAATGTGAGGGAGTGTCATGAACGGGGAAGTCAGACTGGTCTGGGTACAAACAGAAAACCAGGCCTGCCTGCAGATGCACCATCCACCTCGACTGCCTCAAAGGACAGAGGCACCAGGGCAAACTAGCATCCCCCCCCCAGCCCAGGCAGAATCTGCTCCAGGCTGGTGGGCTGGCAGGAACACAGGATCTCAGTGCTTTCTTCCTTTCCCTCCAGCAAATTAGATGAGGGCAGAAGGTACCAGAAAAAAAATGACCACAGCATCTGCCAGAGCTGGCCAGGTCAATGCCCCTGCTCTCACGCCCTTAGGTATCAATGGTAAGAGTCGGGGCTCTTGGGGTATTCCTTGGGGTGGATAGCCTCTGGGATGGTGTGTTCTCAGTTCGTCCTCCAGGGGTCTGGGCTGGGACTGTAATTGCTCCTGTCTGATTGTATTTCAGGAGCAGGACTGCTGGATCTGCTCCCATCCAAGACACACAGAAGCTCCATTGTTGAAGGCCCTCCTTGACAGCAGGTAGCAGGTAAGTCAGCTCAAAGCATCAATAGCAGCTCTGTCTTGGCTAGGAGAGCAGGTGGGCTGGGGTGATGACAGAGCCTGATGGATGGAGGAGGTTTGCCAGGAAGAGCAAATGTGAGGGCTCTTGGTATTGAGTCAGCTTGGGATGCAGCATGGGCGAACAACACGCTGCCTCTGTCCTCCCTCACTAGTGCATGTAGAAGCCAAGAGCTCCTTCTACGTTAACCCTCACAGGGGTGGGAGGTTAGTGCCTGTTCCCCACAGAGCCCCTGGAATTCCCTCTCCAGTGGGGAAGGTGAGCCATGTGGAGGGAAGAGAAGGAGTCTCCCTGATAATCAGAGCTTGCTCCTGGGGCCCTGTACAAGCTCCATGTTACAACATATGGGGAGGTGTCTCCCCATTTAATGGAGAGCTATAGCACTAATAGCCAGTGGCACCAGAGTGCCCCAAGCTAAGGTCTTAAACCCCTCTCATTACTCCATGGTGGGGCAGGTAGAGAGCACGGGGACAATGGAATTAGCGTGTACCATGCCCAGAGCCTGCCCTAGGGCTGCACAAAAAAATACAATATACATGATATAATAGTGATTAATTACACTATTAAGTGATTGCTGCTAGTCTGAGTCAGGCTGCCCCTTGGATCTGTGTCACTTAGCTGTAGTGCATCCTAGGGAATTAATGTATGAGTTTCATTTCCTTTAAAAGTTATATAGGTTACTAAGGGCTCAATCCTGTTTCCCCTTCATGTACCTACGTGGCACTTTTATAACAATCATGTTTGGCACTTGCACACAGATTGGGATTCTGTTTCTGCCTGTGGCACAATATCCCTGAGAGTAAAAGAGCACAAAGCTCTGAGTGCACAAGAAGCAAGTCAGATTGCATGCCAGATGGAAAGATGCATTTATTAAGAGGTGACAGATAAGAGCTGGAATGAATCTAACACAGCCTGGTTACAAAGAAAACTTTCATCCTCATAATTTTGGTCCTGACATGGACTCTTATTTACTTCCAGTTGGGTTTCTAGGGATGATGGACCTGCTCAGATCAGTTAAACTAAATTCTGTAGAAGAATTTAAGCAAGGTATTTGATCATCAAATGGTATTGTTTCAGTTCAAAGTGACCCTGGCCAGGTAACACACACAGCCAACCTGTGCTATTTACAGGGCTTGTTTGTACCATGTCAATAGACAGTCAGACAGACACAAGTTTACCTACTCTTGCTCCACCCAGTCAAGTCCCCTGACACATGCTGGGGATCTCAGAGTAACTTTTGCTGTAGAGAGGCAGTTTCTTGTTACACATTTTGTTAGTGTACTGAGTTTTTCCCTGTTAGTGCTCTCAGCAGCTCATCTGAGTTGATGAATCACCTCATTTCTAGACAACTGAGACTCAACTTGTTACACACATTTTCGTCATTCAGAGGGCTTTCACTCAAGTATGTACTTCCTTATAAGCACTTAGCATAATGTGACGACATTGGCACTCAGGTAAACTGTCTGTGTATGAAAGTCATTTTCTTCTTTGTCCCTAGATCTGATACAAGGGGGATTTCCAGCTCAGTTTCATAGTTAACAATGACTGGTTACCCAGGACAGAGAGTTTGCTCTGGTGATTCACTTCAGCCCCTAGGGCAGCTGTATTCTTGTTTGCCTTTCTGATTTCTCAGTGGTCTTTCTGCCAGCCTGCAAAGGAAAACCCATGGTTTTCCATATTTTTCTCTTTTAAAGGAGAATCCATTTTTAAAGTTTGTTCCTAACCCTTTCATATATTCTTGCGACTCAGTTTTGGGTTGTTACCCACAGGTTGAGAAACACTGGTTTAAATGACAGAGGTCTGCACTTGCATAGGGACTTAGGCATTGAAAATCCACAACGTTCCCCTGACTGGAGTGCCCTCACCATCAGGCTGCAAGGTAATTTGGGAGGAGGGCAGGTTGAGCTCTACCTACTTAAAGGTGTTCACTGTGCAAGGAATGATTAGAGATTCACTGGGCCAAGGAGTATATATGGCTCTCTGCCCTAGTGCTGAGGTCACTCAGCTGCAAGAAGATGACTGGGCTCCACTCCCTGCTCCACTGAACATTGAACTCTCTTAAATTAAGTATTTACTGGAACAAGGACCCTAGTTTCTTTCCCTCAGGTAAACATCCTCACCACTCAACTGTAGATGGATATTTCATGCTCTCTACCCTATCCAATGAAAACGAAGTTACTCCATGCCCAACAGAATACTTTAAACTGGAGGGAAGGAGAATGCAGCCCCACCTTTCCCAGAATAGCTGCAGCCTGGTGTTTAGAGCTAGGGGGTATGAAATATGAATTTGAATTCCCCCATGCAGAGGTAGGAACTGAACCCAGGTCTCCACCTTATCTTAAAAGAGGGGTAGAAGCCATGCTTCAAGGATACCTGCCAAATGGAGTGGTGAGGTACAGTAGTATAGAGCTGCGTCTTAATAGGGCTTCAGCATGGGTTAAGCCTAGAACTGCTCAGCCCTGTCAAGACTGAGATGGTTTGAAGCAGAACTGAAGGTGCCTGCGAAACTAATGTTGACAACCAGGATGCTTCTAGGATTAGTCAGAAGCTGAGTGGTGGTTTTGAGAATCTAACTTTTGGACTTAGTGCCCAAGCCCCATTCAGGTCCTTTTGTTGATCTGGCATAGGGTTAATCAGATGTTTGGTAGAGATAACATTTCAGTTGCTACCCAGCAGAGGGAGCAGCCTCTTCTCCTGACTTCAGTTTCAGCGAGGTTCTTGTTGAACAAGGTGTACTAAGAAGATTGCTGGCAAAGATTTAAACTGTCCAATCACAATCTGGGCTGTGTTCCTTCTCATCATCCAGTCAGAGAACAAGGCACTTTCTTTATGGTTTCTTGAAACTTTGGTTCTGGAAAATTCCAGTTTCTTCAAGCACACTTGGACTGCCCTGCTTTGTGTCATACCTGTTGGGCCACACACTGAACCTTTAGAGGGCTTACAGATGTGCAGGCCCCTGCTTTAACTCATGGCACTTTACATAAGGTGCCATGAGTTAAGAGCGCCCCCACCTCCAACCCAACAGATGTTTGCCTATTGGGTTGGGGAGGGTGAGTGGGAATTGAGCCCAAGGAGCCTGCCTGCATGAGAGGAGCTGCTCCTGTCCCCCAGCCCCCACCCCAGTTCCAGGGCTGTCCAGGAGAAGGGATGGGGGAGGGGGTAGAGAAAGGGGGTAGGGGAAGCAAGCTGCAGGCTGGCATTTGCCTGACTTGAGCTTGGGTGGGTGGGGGTCGGAGGGAGCTGCAAGATAGTAGGGAGCTCTGATCTACCCACACTCCCCTCTAGATCAGGTCTA